GACAGTTCACGCGAAGTTCGGCGCGCGCGTCGCGGAGGCGGACCGCGCGCGCGTCGCGGACAAAGTCACCGAGGCGACGCGGTTCCTCCAGGGCCTCCTCCGGTCCCTCGAGGCGTAATTTCCGGGGCTTTTTCTTTACGCGCCGGGCGCCTTCCGCGCCGCCCGCGCGACGCGCAGCCCCGCGGCGCCGAGCGCCGCGGCGTAGCACGCCGCGAGCGCGAGGCCGATGTCGAGGCCCAGGTCCCCGTTGCGCTCGTCCGCGAGCCCCACGCCGAGCTCGAGGAGGTCCTCGAAGAGCGTCGTCGCCGTCGAGAGGAGCGCGAGGGCCGGGCCGAGGAGGTGCCGCGGGAGCAGCGCCTGGACGTCGGCGTACTGCGGCGCCATGGCGAAGCCGTCGCAGAGGATCGCGCCGAAGAGCGCGGCCTGCGCGGCGCCGAAGTCGCCGAGGAGGAGGCACGCGGCCGTCGCGGCGGCGGAGCAGAGGCAGGCCGCGAGCGCCTGGTCGCCGAGCACGTCGCGCCCCGACCGCGCGAGGTGGTCCGCGAGGAGGCCGCCGAGGAACGGCCCCGCGAGCGCGACGGGCACGAGGCACGTCGCGTTGAGCGTCGCCTGGGCGGGACGAGGGTGATTCAAGTTCGCTTCAACGTGAGCGTTCCGCGCGCGCGCGTTCCAGAGCACGCATCCACGCGTCGAGACCGCTCCGAGAGATGATCGCTCGTCCAAAAATCAGCCGAAACGGGTGGAAAACGGCCGAGAGAGGAGCCTTTCAAGTTGGGAAGCTCGCGCCCTTTCGCCGCCCCGAGCGTCGCCGTCTCCGACGCCCTCGCGGGCCAGGCGTCGTCGAAGTAGGCCGTCAGGTACGTCGCCTTGACGTCCATGGCCGCGTGGAAGGCGACGTAGGCCGCGAGGAGCCAGGCGCCGTGCGGCGCCGCGGCCGCGGCGCCGGCGAGCTCGCGGAGGCCCCGGCGGCCGAGCGCCGCGGGCCGCGCGCCGCCGCGCGCCGCGCCCCGCGGGAAGAGCGCCGCGGCGGCGAGGGCGAGGACCACGCAGGCGCCGCCGCCCGCGGCCGCCGCGAGCCGCCAGGACGCGTAGAGCGCCGGGTACTGGAGGAGCACCGCGGCCGCGGAGCCGATGGGCTCCGACGCGAGGATGAGCCCCGTCGCCGCCGCGTGGCCCACGGCCGAGTCCTTGGGCGCGCCGATGAAGGCGACGCCGACGAAGGTCGTCGCGGCCACCGTGACCAGCGTGAAGCCGCAGCCGATCGCGAACTGCGCGGCAAAGAGCGCCGCGACGCTTTCCGCGAGCGCCAGGCCCGCGAGCCCGAGGCCGCTCGCGAGGGCGCCCGCGAGGGCCGCGTCCCGGAGCGCGGACGCGTCCGCCGGCAGCGGCCGGACGAGGCTCAGCGCGAGGCCCGCGAGCACCGTCGCGGCCCCGGGGCAGTAGCCCACGAGGATCGCAAAGTCGACGTCGGAGACGCCGCAGGCCGTCTGGACGGCGTGGCGCGCGCCCGTCTTCACCTCCCCGGCGGCGTAGAGGTAGATCAGCGCGTTGCCGGCGATCTTGCTCAGGATCGCCAGCAAAGCCACGGACGCGAGGCCCCACAGGCGCTCGCGCCGGCCCCAGGGCGCCGGCGGCGCGTCGAGGGCCTTGGCCTTGGCGACGTCGGGCGCGCCGTCGCCGTCGCGCAGGCCCTCGCTCAGCGTCCCCCAGGACGCCGACGCCACGAGCGGCGAGATCTCCTCGGCGTGGCTGCCCATGTCACACCCGAATCGACGGCATGTCCGGCTTTTGCGTCGTGTTTCCTTCAAGGCGCCTGACTGCAACAACATCACGACCTGCGGCCTCATGCTTCGAGCGACGATCGACTCTGCACAGCTTAATGCACAGCGCCCTTGTCCTCTATTTCCTCGACGGGCTCGAGGACTCTCACGCTCCGCAACCCCGTCCTTCTGCAGGACGCTCAAACCGGTAAACCCCGCATTCGTTGACGCTGAACACCACTCGACCGATCGACCCCCCGTCGCCCTCGTGGCGCCGCCGGCCACATGAACGCCGCGAGGGATCGCGCGCGCGTAACGCCGCGTTAGCCCGCGGAGCGCGCGGCCTCGTCGTCGCGCGGCGACGCGGCGTAGTCGCGCGGCGGCACGGGCGGCGGCGCGGCGTCGTCGTCCTCGTCGTAGTCGCGCGGCGGCACGGGCGGCGCGTTCGGCGCGGCGGCGTCGGGCGCGCTCCGCCGCCGCGCGGCGTCCGCGGCCGGCCGCGCGGCCGCCGCGGCCGCCTCGCTCGACGGCCGCCGCGGGTCGACGCGCGCCTCCACGTAGCAGGCGACGCAGACGCGCTGGAGCGAGCTGCCCGTGACGCTCGCGCGGTTCTCGAGGACGAGGCGCAGGTGCTTCGGCGCGCACGCCTCGCATACCGTCCGCCGGCACCGCGCGCACGTCCGCAGCGACCCGCCGGCGCCGCAGCAGCGGCAGGGCGCGCCGGGCGGCAGGGTCAGGGACACCATGAGCCGCCGCGCCGTCGCGGCGTCGACACCGCAGAGCGGCCGCTTCCCGCCGAGGAGCTCGCGGAGCAGCGCCGCCTCGTCGGCGGCGCCGGCCGTCGGCCGCGTCAGGGCCGGCGCCGGCGCGCCGCCGTAGTCGAGCGCCGGCGAGATGAGGTCGTGCCGCGGGTTCGCCACGGCCACGGCGTCGCGCCGCAGCGCGGCCATGCCACACGTCGTCGATATTATTGGGCAGCCTATCGGAGCATTCTCCGTAATTTGTCGCGCGCGCGGCGCGCCGCTTGAACTTTAAATCTTAATCGCTCGAGGCTGCTGGAAGTTAAGCTGGAAGGCCTGCCCTGCGTAATGTTCGAACCTCTTTAATGAATCTGTATGCAGCTGCTTACTGCTCGTTACGCGTGCGACTTGATCTGGTGCTCCTTGAGGATGACGCGGGCGGAGGCGCCGTCGTCGCGAACTTCGATGACCTTGAAGCGGAAGCCGGGGATGAGCAGCACTTCTTGCTCCTTCTTATACGCGGAGAACTTGGAGATGTTCGCGGCCGTCGGGTGCGAAGCGGCGCGCCGGATCTCAAAGAACACCGCCGTCCTGCTCGCGTCAGTCTTTCCGGCGAAACGCCTGGCAACGGCCTCGCTCAGAGACGTCGAGGTGAACCCAGTCCACTGCAGGATCCCTCCCCGGCGCTCCGCATCCTTGAAAACCTCGAGCTGGGTCCGCGTCATCGTCGTTCCGCGGTAGACGCGCGTGATCTGGCCGCAAAAAATAATGCGCACGGCCTCGACGAGGGAACGGAGCGGCCATCCGAAGAACCTGGGCGCGCTGAGATCGCTCTTCGACAGCAGCCTGTCTGCGACGTAGCGCGTATTGAGCCACTTTTGCAACTTATAGTCGCCGATCGTGTACGTATCGAGGTGCTTCTTGTGCCACTCCGTGAGTTCACCCTGGCCGGGTGTCGTGTCGCGAATGGCCAGACGAATTTCCTTGACCATTGCCGGGCGACCAGCCTTGGTCTTCATCGTCGGGTCGGTGTCGTCGGCCGCCGCCTGGACGACCAAAGCATCGCTATAACGCTCGCGCTGCCCCAGCGATTTCCCTTGCCCAGCGGGCGGCCGAGAGACCGAGCGCGACTGCGACCGTGCACGATCCCGATCGCGCGACCGCGCTGCGGGGCGCCCTCGAATCTCGCCCACATAACATAATCCCATGGCAAAGCCGGGCTCGTGCATGGCTGCCATGCTCTGCCCGAAAACGAAAGGTGGCGGATCCTCGGCTCAAGTTGAACCTCAATGTGGGGCGTCTAAAAATTACACACGGCCGGCTCACTGCGACGCGGCGTTGGGCCCGTCCTCGCCCGGCGCGTCGTGGTCCGGCGCGTCGTGGTCCGGCGCGGCGCCGCCGGCGACGGGCCCGTCGGCGTCGAGGCCGTCGTGCTCCGTCGCGCCGCTGCCCGTCGCGGCGCAGGTCTGGGCGACGGACCGGGCCTGGCCGATGCAGAGCGACACGCAGTCGAAGCAGGACTCGACCGCGCCGTAGGTCGCGAGGTTGTACGCGGCGACCGACGCGCCGCCGGCGTCGCTCCGGACCTGCGCGACGAGGCAGCTCTTGACGAGGTCCGGCGCGAGGACGAAGGCGGCCTCGACGGGGTCGGCGCAGGTCGCGTAGGCGCCGCCGTCGAGGAACCGGAAGCGATCCTCGACGCACGACTCGGCGCAGCCCGTCGACGCGGACATGTCCAGGGTGCACGTCGTCGCCCAGGCCGGGTCGTCGAGGCGCGCGCCCGTGGTCACGGCCGCCAGGGTCGCGTCGTAGGAGAACTTGACGAGCGCCGCGTTGGACCCCTCCCAGTCGTAGGTCCAGCCCTTGTCCGGGTCTAAGCCCCGGAGTTCCAAAAACTGGCCCCGGTCCACGAGAATCGTCGCGCCGACGGGGTCGGGCAGCGCCTGCCAGCCGAGGGAAACGCCGAGCGCGACGAGCAGGTCCGTGCTCGTCGTCCGCGCCACGCACTCGACGACCATGGCGTCGTCGACGTCCTGGATCGTCAGCGACGACAGGACCGGCCGCGTCGGGGCCAGCGCGACGGAGGCGCCGACGAGGCCCAGCGCCGCGGCGGCGAGCGCCGCCGCGGGCCAGCGGCGCCGCGCCGGGCCGGCGGCGAGCGGCGTCGACGCGTCGACGGCGTCCATGGCACTCGTCGTGTCGGGGCTGCCTTGGAATTCGATGCAACGTTGCTGCGTTCGGGATGTCGGTGCCTTCAACCACGACGTCGATGCAGGGCAATATTAACCCATTGCGAAGCAAAGCTCGAGCTGCTCGCGCATTTTAAGTCGCGTGAGCATCGCCTCGCCGCGCGCGCGCCCCGCAGAGCCTCGCGCCCGCCGGCGCGGTCCGCGGTCCGCGGCGACCATGTTCGGCCAGCCCGCGCTCAACGCGTCGAACCCGAACAACGACACGGTGGTGCCCAACTCGCCGAGCGACGGCGTGTCGAGCCTCACCTTCAGCGCGAGCTCCCAGTTCCTCGTCGCGAGCTCCTGGGCGTCGACGGTGTCCTGCTGGGAGACGCAGGTCGCCGAGGGCATGGGCAGCGCGCAGGTGAACGTCGCGCCGCGCGCGCAGATCACCGTCCCGGCGCCCGCGCTCTGCACGTCGATGTCGGCGGACTCGCAGAACGTCTTCGTGGGCCTCGGCGACGGCACGGCGCAGATGTGGACCCTGGGCCAGCCCCAGGCCCAGACCTTCGGGAAGCACGACGCGCCCATCCGGTCCATCCACTTCGTGCCCGCGCTCTCCTGCGTCTTCACGGGCTCGTGGGACAAGACCATCAAGTGCTGGGACGTGCGCCAGCCGACGCCGACGGCGTCGGTGCAGCTCCCGGAGCGCTGCTACTCCATGGACGTGGCGCACCCGCTCATGGTCGTCGCGACGGCCGAGCGCAAGCTCTGCGTCTACGACCTTTCGAACGCGAACTGGCAGCGGCCCTACCGCGTCGAGGACAGCCCCCTCAAGCACCAGACGCGCTGCGTGCGCTGCTTCCCGGACCGCGAGGGCTTCGCCATCGGGTCCATCGAGGGCCGCGTCGCCATCCACCACGTCGACGCCAAGGACGCGCACAAGAACTTCGCGTTCAAGTGCCACCGCGACACGCAGGACGGCCGCGCGGGCCAGGCGTCGACCTGCAACATCTACGCCGTCAACGACATCGCCTTCCACAATTTGGGCACCTTCGCGACGGCGGGCTCCGACGGCGTCTTCAACTTCTGGGACAAGGACTCGAAGCAGCGGCTCATGGCGTTCAAGCGCGCGGACCGGCCCATCTCCTGCGCGGCCTTCAGCCCCGCGGGCACGCTCTACGCCTACGCCCTCTCCTACGACTGGTCCCGGGGCTCCGAGTCCCACACGCCCACGGACCCGAACACGATCATGCTCCACAAGGTCCAGAAGGACGAGATCACGCAGCGCAACAAGAAACCGGGGCGGAAGTAGGTCCGTTACGTACCCTTGCGCCGGAACGTGATCGTCTCGCCGTGCTCGACGAGGTCCAGGGGCGCGTCGCCGCGGAGCGCGTCGCCGCTGTCGCGGACCATGGCGAGCGACGCCGCGTCGACGGCCGTGCCGGGCCGCTTCGCGGCCGCGTGCTTCGCGAGCGTCTGCGCGAGCTTCGCCGCGGGCCTGCCCGCCCAGGTCGCGGGGATCGCGACCTTGAGCCGCAGCCGCTCCGCGGGCGCCGCGCCGTCGAGGACGAGGATCACCTCCTTCTTCGGCGCCGCGGGTTCCGCGGCCGCGGGCGCCGGCGCGCCCGCCGGCGGGGCGTCGGCCGCGGGCGCGGAGAGGCGCCGCCGGCCGTCGGACGGCGCCGCCTTGGGCGCCTTCTTCAGCTTCTCGTTGACGCCGTTCTGGCAGTACATGTGGGCCGTCAGACCCATGCACGCGCCGCGGCCGTTGCCCCCGGGCAGCCCCGCGCCGTTGGGCCCGCCGCCGCCCTCGTGGAACTTGTAGCTATGGTGCGCGCCGCTCCAGTTCGTCGGCATGGTGGGCGGTCGTTAGGTCGTCTTCCGGCCCTCCATATTTTACTCCACGGTTGCGAGTTGCAGTCGATACTCTGCCATGTTGACGCTCGGCGTGACATCACTTGGTTGACTCCGAGCTGCCTCGCCCAGGTTGGGCACGCGATGCAGCGGTTCCAGGACTTGGCGCGGCGCTCGGTCTGTGGACCATGTCGCGCCTTGGGCCCGGCTGCGAGTCGCTCGGGAAAGACCATCGGTCGATGGGGAGCAACTTAGTTCGCGTCGGGGCAGCCCGTGGACGACGAGAACGGCGGTTATCGGTGGGGGGCGACCGACGAGGGGCTCGCATTAGTGCTGAGGTCCCGTATGTGCGACCAACTTCGAAGAAACACCCCCTGGAATGTCCCTCCCGAGGGGGCTGTCCGGGCTTGGTCGCACATACGGCCTCGTGCATTGCGCGGTGAGCACCGTGTCGCCCGCGGCGCCGCGCGCCTCTCGGAGCCGGTGAGGTGATCTCGATCAAATCGGCTCGAGTCGAAGAGCTGCCGCGAGGGCATCTGGTCGCTCCCATGACGAACGATTCCCGACGCTCTGTGACTCGAAGGGGACCGAAAATCGGGTCGGGGGAAGCTGCCGCGCCTCATTCCACCCCCTGAGGCTGCCCGTTTGCGTCGCCTCGCAATCGTCCGGATGTCGCGTCTTTTCATGTG